CAGTTTAAAAAACATGGTCCAAAGAATTTTTTGCTTTACTTGCAATAAGGATGCTAAGGTAGAGGAGATGTATGAGTTTGTGAGGGAGGGTAGGATGTGGGATGTGAAGGTGAAGAGAAGGATGCAAGACTGAGAAATTGATGAGTACAACAGCCTGCTTTTGTCCCTGACAGAATTAAATTTAAATGCAGAAAATGATAAAAGAATCTGGGAAGCTTGATGAGAAGAAAGATTTCTTGGTGAAATCTTTATACAGCTGTCTAACTAAGAAGCATAACAGCCGCAGCACGTCAGCTCCTTATAAGCAAATTTGGAAATCTAAAGTCCCTCCTAGAATGGCTTTTTTTGCGTGGGAGGCGGCCAATGAATGTATTTTGACCATATGCTAAAAAAGAAGGAGAATGTGTTTGTTAATAGATGCTACTTATGTCAGGCTGAGGAATCGCGCAACCACTTATTATTATTCTGCCTAGTGACATACAGCATATGGACCTCTATTTTTGAGCTGTTAGGATTAAATTGGGTTATAACTGGAAGTGTGAGTAATGAGTTGTGGGCGTGGGTGGGCTTTTGTAAAACGAAACATCATTTGTTCCTTATTCCACTTACAATATTTTGGGTAGTGTGGAAGGAAAGGAATGGCAAAATTTTTGAGGGTATAGAGACTAACTTTACAAAGATTAGAGATAAATGGATCATACTTTTGGCTCTATTTTGTTGGGTCATGACATCAAAGACATGTGAGACTTTTGTGTTATCATAAACCATTTGATTGACATGTAACTAGTTCGTATTCGGGTAGTACCCTCTTGGTACCTTGTGCATAATAATATTTTCCTTTTATTTCAAAAAAAAATGCATGTTACTTTTGCAAAGGGCAGAGGAAAGTTGTAATCATGTTCTCCTTCGATGTCCTGTGATTTATAGGCTTTGGTCTATGGTTTATAGCACTCTTGGAACCAGCTAGGTGGTTTTTGGTTCTGGGAAAAATGAAATTTGCGCATGGAAGGGGTTTGGAATAAGAGGAAACAAACTAAGATTATACCACTTATTATATTTTGGGTTGTGTGGAAAGAGATGAACAAAAAGGCTTTTGAGGGAGTTGAGGATACAGATGGTATGATTCACTTAAGAACAGATGATTCCAGACTCTCGGTCTTTTATTGTTGGGTCACTCCATTCATTCTTTTGCGGATTTAGGAAACATATTAGATACTCTAATTGATTTGTAAATGGGATGGTTTCCGCTTGATACCCATATTAATACACACAAACACTTTTTTTTTCAGAAAAAAAAAATACTAATCCTAATAAAAATAACAAACTCTAGAATCCTATATATATAGGTTTTTTATGACAGAAAAGGAAATAAACAATCAATTACAATTAATCACAAATGATGCATTTTACCTTTTAACTTGATTTAGTTTCTCTCTAACTTTATGATTTATTTTCTCTCTAGCACCTTGATTGACTTTCTCTTTAATACCATGATTTTCTTTCTCTTTAATACCTTGATTTTACTTTATTTTTAATATTATGCTTTTCTTCCTCTTTAATAAATACTAATCATAATCGAAAAATAAAATAATACTAACAAAAATAAACTCTTAACTCTGATAAGACTCCTAGATAATAAACTGAAACATAATTCAACAGTAAATAAATTCTTGTAATGGCTATGCACCATCATTGCCTCAACATTTCTGTTCTAAAAAATAGTGAAGAATAACACCCCACCTCTGGACCTGATGACTAATTGGTTAAGGAGACCCACTCACACCCAAAACATGGCTTTGTCAACAAGACCAAGTTAAGCCAACCTTCAGACCCTCATTGCTGGGAATTAAGAGCAAGACTCATGCTCAAACCAGAGGCTATTCCCCATGCACTAGATGATGCTCTTATTTTCCCTCACAGCATTATAATAAAAGATATACATTTTCCAGACATACCCTTTTGTTATCTCCTTCTCCTTTATGACTTGGGCTTCATACAAAGGACTAATTTTGTCAAGCTCCTCTGTTGATTCTTGTATTTCCTTCTCAAGGACATGAAGCTGCTTAATTGCATCATCCTGAAAGCACAGAAAATCAGTAAAAGGAATACCCTTATCCTCGGGGAAAAGAAATATTTCTATAAAATACCCTGCAAAACTGAAAGCAAACATGTCTATGTCTACACTATTAAGTCATCAAAATAATACTTTGGTTTGTATATTCCCAGATATCTTCTCCTGAAGGTCTTTCATATCAAGTTCAAGCTCTGTCTGCTTCTTTATGGCTTCAGTTTGTTGGGCTTCTAAGGCTTCGTTCTCTTTGCTCAAATTCTGAACCTCTTTTGTTAAGTTTTTAAATGTGTCATCCAAGTCCTTGGCCTTCTCATGGGCATCCAGCACGCTATTGTACATCTTTGTTGATGTTTCAGAGACCTTGGTTCGAGCTTCTTCTACCTGAATCAAGTAGGCAAGGTATCACATCCATTGATCCATATAAAAGGAAACATCAGCAGTAGCTCAAGAAAAGATTTTTTAATCATGTCTAGATTAAGTTTATAAGCAGAATAAGAACAAACTAAGCAATCACATTTGCTCAGATTGCAGTGTTAGACCATGTTAATGACAAGAACTATAGGACTTTTTTTGAGAAACTATTGAAAGAAATATTTGCAGAAGGGAAGGGTATAAAAATGCAAAAATCCAGTCAACAACTAAAGTTGTCTTATGAGTAATTTGGCCTTAAGTTTTAAGATAAATTTTGCCATCATTTAGCTATTATACATGGCCAGGATCAGCTTATTTTTGCAGTCAAGAACAGTTGCACTACGGTTAAGTTAGTAAAAGTTGGATTCTAATCGTTTCCTCTGATTCTTGATTCTTTCATATGTTATATTTTTAATATAAATCAAGTAAAATGCTTCAAAAAATAAAATAAAATAAGTAAAATGCATTTGTATTTGTTACGCTTTATTTTGGTTTTATACACTAAAAACTGTACAATTTCCCGACCCTTTTTTAAAAGTACCTTGTCCAGACATTTGATGAGAAGGGGCGGAATTTGGGTGAATATATGCTAGCCAAGCAAAAATGCAGTGGAATCATGCAATCACATTCTTCTCTGGCGCCCGGTGGTATATAACTTGTGGTCTATGGTGTATGGATTGTTAGGGATCAACTAGGTCATTAAGGGGCCGATCATATATGAGATTTGGGTTTGGAAAAGCTTACATAAAAAGAAAAAATTTGCTAACCTCATTTCTTTGACTATCTTTTGGGTGATTATGAAAGAGATGAATGGTAGAGTTTTTTAAGGGATGGAAAGGGAGATTTGTAAATTAAAGGGCAGGTAGTTTCATTATTTTGGTTCCTTTTTCTGGGTCATGACATTATTGGGTGAAGGATTTTGGGTATTTAGTTGATACTATAACAAACTTGTAAATATTTTGTACATGAGCCGTACTCCCTTGGTACTATTGATTCTTTAATATACTTTTACAGTTTTACTTTCAAAAAGAAAAAGTACCTTGTTCAGATGTAAGAATATATTTGCCTAGCTTTTGATAAAAACTGAACTATCAGCTCCTCCAAAGACTCGTATTCCATCCTTTCACACTATCAAATTTTGGAACATTAAAATTAACTTCTTCTTCCTCTAAAGCTTCTTGGAGGAAATTGTAACCAATCCAAGTTGATGTCGGACAGGTCAAGGTTAAGATGCCTACTAAAGGATTAATGGTTAAACCAAAATATCCCTATTCCAAAAAAGCTGTAGGGTTAATGACATTAGGGTTAAGAATGCAGTGGGCTTAGGAGGGAAAATCACAATGACATTGAAGGAAGAGGAGATAAATGGGAAACAGAATGGAGAGAATGATAAAACAGGAGGAAATAACTGATAATAATACTCCTTTTAATATCCTTAACTTAGTTGCAGATATATGTGTCCCATCAGACATAAGCAGCCAAAAACAGTTACAGGGTACAGGTAGGCTGTCCCGTATACACACCTAGCACTATACCTTCAACATTCCTAATGCCATTACGTGACAGGAAAAGTAAAAACAGAATTTCAAAAAGAAAATAAAACATGAGCAGCCATTATCTTTCCCTCCAAAACTAGGTCTTGACAAAAACCTTGCCGTGCAAGTGGCTTTGTAGGTTGATGAGGGATAGGGACTGTATATGGTAGAAGGTTTTCAAAATAAAGACAGGATGGAGAATGAGTGGATTACTAAATGGAGCAGATATCTATATGCTTTCGGTGTTCAGAAATTCATTAGGCTATCTATAATTCATGAGAATGATTGGGCTAAGTTTTTCTCTTGTATGCACTTTAAATTGCATTCCAGTCAATGTTTTAAATTCTGGAAAGATATTTCATGTGGCCAGTTACCCTCATGTTAGTAATCTTGAAACATTTTTAATATTGCAAGGGACAAAGAATGGAAAGTGAATAAGTGCTCCTTGAAGAGTAATCTCAGGCATTAGGCTGATTCAGGATCTAAATGATTGGAAAAGCTATCGCCTTTCCAGGCTCCCCCTATGCCTTGAATGTGCACTCTGATGTGCGGATCTACTGATTTGGTCACAGAACAGGAACAAAAAAGTTCCAAGCCGCTCCTAGAATTTTTCTTTTTTCCTAGAAGGCAGCTTGAGTAAAATCCTTAACATTGCTTACTTGAGGAAAGAGGTAGGTAAAAGTCTGATGAATGGGTATAACTGTGCCAGGGGTCGGAGAAGTTGAATAGTAATCCTTTGCTTTGGCACCCCAGCATATCTTACAACTCTTCATTTTCTCAGAATTAAGTGAATGATTGGGAGTTCTTTGGCTAGAGAACTTTGGGCCTGACATGGCATCATGGTGCAGGAAAAAAATATTGGCTCTCATTTCTTTTACTGTACTCTGGGCTAGAGATCATTGGCTCAAAAAATTATAGTCGCTTTTTTTATCATGCACAATGCATATCCTAATCAACAATCAAGTAGGCAAATATTTTAAATGATAATTGAGTAGATATCCCAATAAGAAATAATCTAACACTTTAGTATTGGCATGTTCATCAATCCCTAACTGACCTCTGCCAGTTTCTGCCGAGCATCATGAAGCTCCTTGTCATAAATAGTGTATTCCAGAGATTTTCTCTGCTTGTCAAGCTGCTGATATTTCCTTAATTCCTCTTTCTCTTCATCCAGTTCCTTTAGCCTCTCATCCAGGTACTGAACAACTTGAATGATCTGCTTTCTCTTATTTCCTGATTTGGAAGAAACCAGAGTAGCCTTGACATAAATTTAATGCTAAACATGCAAAATTACAGACTAATATTTGTAACTAAGGTACAAGTATACATAATGAATCAGAGCTGACTTGCCAGTTTCTTGCATAATTTTCAAACTTTCACGGCGTCTCTCCTCATAAACACGAGTACCACCAATTTCTTTGAGTAAATCTAATCGCTCGGAATCTTTCATCAAAGTCAATGAGGCTATCTACAGATCCATCCACCAAAAAGAAAAAAAAGTTACTTCAAAAGAGAAAATGCATATTGAGTAAAACCCCTAGCAGATTTATATGATGAAGTTAAAGCTCTAAACATCGAGTGCCTAATACCTTTCCTTGCTGCACAACATAGTAAGGATTAGAACGAGAAAATCCAGCACTTTCCAGCAAATTCATAACCTCAGTTTTCCTGCAAATTGTGTTATCTCCTTTGTTTTAACTAACAGCAAACCATTTGTAAAGGATGAAATACAGCAAATTTAGCATCGATAAACTGGGAGGCAAATGGCTTCCTTGAAAACAAGGTAAAAGAAACTGAAAGAGACTCACGTGATGTGCTTCCCATCCAAGAAATATTCATCCTTCTTCAAAACCAATTGTTCGACGTAACCGTACTTCCTCTTTATCAACCTGTAACATTTGCAGAAGCAAGCTAAACAGGGGCACAAACACAGACTTAGCGGCACCATTAAGCATAAAGCACAATGTACCAGGGAGGAAACGAAGATCGATGGATAGGATAATGATGGTAGCAACAACAACAACAATAGTAACAATATCTATTATCATTATTATGGTGGCAGGGAAAAAAGAAAACTATTAAGTAAGATAATCTACATGACGCAGTCCTTTATTTAAGATCAAGTTAAACCACCAATCTAAGGTTCTATACAACTGTTTTTAATTAATTATTTTCTGATTTTTTTTATTTATGCAGTCTGCTTACATATAGGAGAACTCTATTGTGAGGTTTCCTATTCTAAAAGACATGTGAACTCCTAAATATAGGAATTTCCTTTTTTTTTTGTTACAAGAAATATAAACGTTGCTTAATCATAAAAATTTCCGATTATCCTCCAATGTCCTAAGTAAATAAAATTATTTAAGGAAACCTTTTAACCGGTATTTCTAAGCATTCTCTTTGTCCTGATTAAACCTAAGCTTGGAAAGCTTATGGAGATTAGCCCAGATTTCCCCTCTCCTGCACAAGGCCCTTACTGCCAATATTGTTCTTCTTCCATTTTCTTCTTTGCCGACTACAGCTATAATGTAATAACAATAGCTTCTGCACTGCTAAAAATTGGCATTATGACACAACCCCCAAGAAGAAAAAGTTAATATTTAAATAAGAAAATAGATATTTTGTAACTAGACTAAAATAAATGAACAAAAAACATCCTTGTGATTTTTGAAGCATGTCAAAGAAGAAGTCAGGTTCCCCAGGTACAGTTATTACAAGCTATTACTTGAAGAAACTGAGCAAACTAGTCTCAATGTAACCTCCTAGTTTCCATATGGGAAAACCCTCGCTGATGATTTTTGCCCCAAAATAGTAAAATGGTTACGACTAGAAGGTTTCATTAACAACCCTGCTTAGGCATGATTTAACTGAGAAAGATTTGAAGAATCTGACACTAAATGTCTATAGGCTCCATTGATTAATTCTAATCGAGTACATCTCACCTTTTCTTCCCTTTTCTCCAATTTTAGGCAGTAATGAATGTACCATCGTAAAAGAATATGTTAGAAGGAATAAATTAATATGATTAAGAGAATGCTATATAAATGTTCGAATATATACAAAGTTGCAGGGAATGAATAGCAGAAATCAAGAGCAGACAGAAGATTGCTGATTAACAATTAAAAAGAAGCAGCAAACAATAACCAAGAAAATTATAAGTTAAAAACTGCAACAATATGTTACAAACCTGATACATGGTTCAGATCTAGAAGGTAAAGTTCAGATTTAAGAGAGAGAAAAAGAGAAAAAAAGGATTTAGAGTCAAGAGAATGGAAATAGAGAGAAACCGAGAGAGAGAAAAAAAGATTTCCGACAGAGAGAGGATAGAACATTTGAGATTAATCTTCAAGAAAACACTTTGGTGATTCACGCTTACAAATGGAGAACTTAAATACAAAAAATGGTGCATGAATATTACATTCGAATCACTAAACGTCGCCATGGAACAATGTGGAAGCCGTCAGTCAAAAGGGACGCGTCCTGTTGATTCCCATATCCTAACCCTAATTAGTATTTAACCCTTCCAGATCGATTCCCAAACCCTAATCCTTATTAGTATTTAACCCGTCCATATTGCCGTCCATGCGTCCAAACTGAGGAATGGCTGGCCAAGATCTTTCCCTCCATTTTCTGTTTTCTTGTTCTTTATTCCCCTAACACTAACCTTAATGTTTTTACAATAGAAAGTTCAAGACTATCCTAATACAAACTTTACCATTTTTACCTTCCTTGTATTTACCTATTCCCTAATTTACTCATAGTTCTTTACAATACCCACCCCTTGAACATCAATATTGCCCCCAAGGTTGAGATCCTGCTTCTGATTTTTGTTTTTTTTTTTTTAATTTTATTTTATTTTATTTATAACACACCATCTTCTTCTCCCACTTATTCCTTCTCCATTTTCTCTAAGCGCTTCCTTACTTTGAGATTAGAACAGCTTCTACAACAACCAACAATGGTGCCTTCTTTGTCAATCCACGGCATACCTTCCTCTTCCTCACATGCACTCTTCACTCAACCTTTTCCTCACTAATCTATACAGCAGGCACGCAAAGTCGTTGGAGAAAATAGAACCTGCTTTCAGGCCACAGTTCTTCGGTGCAGAGATCACGCGGAGGGAACCCAAGAAGGAGACTCCTTCAACATAAGCAAAGGCCACCAGATGCTAGGCCAAGGCTCCAATCCGTCGATCCAGAACAATGCCTCAACCTTCTTGTTCATGTCCCAGATCCCTGTACACTTTTTAGACTTCTTCTCGGTCTCATCATCTTCTTCATCTTCTTCTCCTTCTTCGCTTTCTTCTTCTTCCGCTTCTTCTTCTTTTTCTGTTTCTTCTTTTTCTTCAATAATGGGGTCTGAACCGGTTCGGTTCCGTGAACCAATCCGGTTCGTCCCGAACAGCTTTAGGATTTTTCAACCGGTTCATTCATTGAACCAATTTTAGGTTTTCCCCCTTAAAAGCTGGTTCATCTCTTCTTTTTTCATTTTATTTGCGTTGCGCAGGGAAAGGAAAAATCACCCCATGCACACAGCTGCAGTAACAGCCGTTGGCTTTTGTGCCCTTCGGAAAGGGAATGTCGCTGCCCAGCAACTTGATCATCAGATCCAGTTTTCACTGTATTTGATCAAAGGGTTTCCCGGTGCAGTCAGCGGCCACTTTTTCCATGGAATCCACCATCACTAGTTCCCATTTGGATCTGAAACGCGGCTCTGACATCAAGTTATTATGAACCTAATACATGATTCGGATTTGGACGGTAAATGTTTGGATTTAAGAGAAAGAGAGAGAGAGAAAAAGAGAGTTAGAAAATCGAGAGAATAGAAACAGAGAAAGAAACCGTGAGAGAAAAAAAGATTTCTGAGAGAGATGATAGAATATTTGAGATTAATCTTCAAGACAACACTTCCATGAATATTACATTTGAATCGCCAAGCGTCGCCATGGAACGATATGGAAGCCGGCAATCAGAAGGGATGCATCCTGTCGATTCCCAAACCCTAATCCTAACTAGTCTTAATACCCCTCCAGATTGTCGTCCACGTGTCCAAGCTGAGGAATGGATGGCCAGGATCTTTCCCTCCATTTTTCTGCTTTTTTGTTCTTTATTCACCTAATCCTAACCTTGATTTTGTCATAACAAAAAGACAAATCTACCTTTATACAAACTTTACCATTTTTATCCTGCATCTTATTTACCAACTCTGTAATGTACCCTAGGTTCCTTGCATATATGATCCACTGAAATAAGAAACATAACAGCTACCACCTGCTCTCTAAACTACTCAAGCAAAAGAAATAAATAGCCTTGAAATAATACCGGTATGCGATTGTCAGTGTTATCAAAAACAATCTCCACATATGCTGACATAACTTGGTGGCCTGCACCTTCCTGTTAATTTAAACATAGTGAGCATTGAATTTGAGAAACGAACTACAAACGCTTTCTATGGTAGTTGGACATTCAATTTGAATAAACAGTAATGTTGTAAGCATACATGGAGTAGCGCATGTCTATCTTCATTTCGCAGGTTTTGGAAGAGGTCACTCAAAACAAAACGAATTGCTGCATTTAAGGGCCAAGCAATTAAATTTAAATTAATTTCCAGTAGGAATTGTCATGTAACGAGTAAAAAAACAACAAGTGGGTTACCATGGAAAAAGTTACTCTTGCCAGATCCATTTGCACCAACTGCAGCAACAAATCTTTGAATAAATAATAATATTTTACAAGATATTCGCACAATATATTTTTACAAGGTCAATCAGAAACTAGTTTCAAGGTAAGACCCAGTTATATTAATAATCGGATCTAGCATTTTAGGAAAAGAAAGTGTTCATGATCTGTGATGTTCACACCCCTAGCTGCATATGCAAAACCATTTCATCAGTGCATAACAGAATTAACACTAGTGACTTGCTCCAAATTCACAGACCCCAAAATGCTCTTTCTACTAATGTGTGTTTGATGTGCTTTAGTGTCAAGACTAACAGCCATCTCTTCTTGCACCCTGAGGTGGCTGGAAGGTATACAAGTAGCATCTTCTCCTCCTTGGTCGTCGTGCAATGAGCTTGCCCATGAAATTTGGAGATTTTCATTTATCTTTCTCTTTTTGTTTATAGTAGAAGTAATAGTACTCTGAGCTTTGGAGGAGACTAAATTTGCTGGTTTTGGCTTCTTTGGTTGGAGAAATTATCCTCCTTTTAAGCAGCGCTCTTACTCTTTTACTGATTTGTGGGATAGAATTGAGTGCTTAGCTTCTTTATGGGCTAAAGCACATAATTTCTTCAGGACAATTCCTCTTTCCACAATCCAAAGGGACTGAGTTACTATTTTGTATTTCTCCTGTATTGATTCTTCACTTTTTGTTTCAGTTCTAATGTTTGTCTTTTTCTGTTTCTTTTTCTTTGGACGATAGCTTAGCCTCCTTTAGATTGTAACTTCTCTTTGCTATCTAATATATTTCCTTTTCTATCAAAAATAGATATACCAAATTAGTGAAGATACTAAATACTTTCTAATACATTTTTAAAAAAGGAAACAAAACTTATCACAAGGCCTCAAAGGGGTATCACCAGTTTTACAAAAGAATGATGGCAATCCAATATTATCTGCTATATATTTATGACAAACTAAATACGTCCCAAAAACCAAAAAAAAGAACATATATACCTTGCACAAATACTTGCAAGAATCTACAATTAATGTAGTTACACAATCATATTCATCTACTGTCACCGCTACTATAGCCAAATTTTTAGCAATCAAGATTTGTAGGAAAATAAAATAACATAACAAATAAGGCTCCAAAGAGGTTCGAAACTCCTATTAGTCAAAGATATTGAACCAGCATTCCAAATAAGAGTAAATCATTATCGTACCATGCAAAAATCCAACAAGAATATATATTCCAAAGCTTAATAATTATCCCTGCTTCATTTTATAATTGAACAAGATGGCAATGAGAAACCATATTACCAACACAATTAACTTTTGGACTGAAAGGCTCAGTAGCAACTTGTTCTCTGTAACTCTTAAAGCCTTCAATTACAACCTAAATTGCAATCTCAGTCGTTAGATGAGTACTAACCATGATAAAATATAGAGAAAAACCTAAGAAGTTTTAACTAAAGACTTCACAATAGAATGAAATTACCTGCTTTATATGCATGCTGGAATTACAAAATTACCCCTCCTGTCAAAGCATCGGAAAGAAGAACACAATCAAAAGCAATTATAACATATCAGAGATATTTATGCAAATACATATGCACATACATACATATAAATATATATATCAATAGACACACACATATATATAGAAAAGAAATACCTGATGAACAACTATCTAGATGTTAATCAAACTCGGGAATAACAACATTTGATGATAAGCTTAGGAATATGAAATTACCTCCATCAATTAGAGGAGAGATAAGAAAAATGATCAGAGGACTCATCTCTCCAATGGAGCAAAACAAGGTAAAACTAGCACTTTGGAAGTAATTTTCACGTTTCTTTATTTCATTTAAAAGCAAAATGGAGACAAAATTCTGTGCAACAATGGATTATATCCAAAATTCCATGAACAATAAACTGAGAGAGAGAGAGAGAGAGAGAGAGAGAGGGAGAGAGAGGGAGAGAGAGAAGAGAAAAAAGAGGGCAGAGAGAGAGAGAGGGGAGAGATGCAACTTCGAGAGAGGATTAAAAAGAAGGAGGCGCAGCTGAAGATGTTGAACAGAGGAAAAAACAGGGTAGTTTGGCTGGTGAAGGTGATACCGCGAGAGAAAGATGAGCAAGCTTGAGAGTGGAGCAGGCTGCGGACGGGAGAGAGTATAGGCTAGAAGAAATTCAGCGAGAAAGAAAAAATTAACATCCACATATTAGAAATATCTATAGAGCAAGAACTCAGATACCAGCAGCGCGCCAAATACGCTTCCATGAAAAAGAAAATGGTCCAAAACTAAGATCAAACAGCGCAAAACCGTCATTGAACTTTCTTATAGCGAGAAACAGTAAAATGAACTGAAGAACGAAAAGCCCTAGAAATACATGATGCTCTAAAGAAGCAGAAAAAAAAAAAAAAAAAAAAAAAACTACTGGAGAGTTTTTCTAGGGTTTTCACCATTAGTTAACACAAAATTTTTATAACATTCACAGAATATTAAAAGAAGAAAAAAAAAGACTGCGCGTGAAGTTACCGATTAGCAGTTGATCAAGTTCATGTAGAAGAAAGAGAGAAACAGAGGAAGGAAAATGACCTGATTAGACTTGCAGTTGAAAATGGCGGACTGGAGTGAGTGACTCAACTCCGCCCGAGTTTTGCACTGTAGAAGCCGATAATTCAAACAGTTAATTTCAGGGGAGGGAGACGAAGGGGAGAAATGAAAAGAGTAAGGGCGGGCTTATGTCCAGATTTTGGCAATTTGCTGAAGACACGCAACGGAAAACGCTTATAAAGCGTGCACAGTACAGTTCAGACAGAGGCAGTAAAAGGCTTTAGTTAGGGTCGGGTACGGGATACCTCTTTATCCGACCCGACCCACTTTGGTGAGTGGAGAAATATGAATAGTGATGATTAAAAAAAATTTCTATATGAATTATTTGTGAAACATTTATAAAACTTGAAATAACTTTGTATATATTTTTAAAATTTCATATATAATTTCATATAAATTTATTTTATTATTTTATAAATAATTCTTATAATTTTTATTTTTTTTACTATTATTTTTTTAAATATTTTTATTATCATTTAAATTAAATACATAATTACTATTAAATTTTATAAAAAATTAAAATTTATTAAAAAAATAACATAAAATTTTTCTTTTTAATAATTATATACGAAATTTTCTTATCGTAGAGTTTAGTAAAATAAATAATTAATAAATAAATATA